ATTTGTAATGTGTGTCACTTAGGAAGTCAGTTTTGGGAATGTGTACAAAAGTGGTAAGAAGTACTATATTTGGTACGATTTGGTATTGGGTGAATATATGTTGCTTAAAATCTGAAATTAGGTATTAACCTGGACATCTGGAGGTGGGTTCGAAAACCTGTATAATAATTGTACAGAAAGTACTGAATAGTACTATATTTGTTATTCGATGAAAGTATAGAGATAATATTCTGAAATTTGATATTTAGATTGCTGATGGTATCTGTGTTTCAGATTTGAGGGTGGTTTGGAAATTCATCCTATATTTATACGAAAAGTACTAAATGGTACTAAATTTAGTATTGGGTAAAGGGATAGAGTTCGAATCCTCAAATTTGATATTGAGCTCTCTGTTGGTAACTAGATTTGAAATATAAAAATGATTTCGTAAATGTGTCTTGGAAAAACTGCAACCAATTTCAGACTGCTATCATATCTAATCCACTCGTCCGACAGCTTTAAAAGTTATTCCAGAGACAGCTCATCATATTCTTTACAAGCACTAACAAGCGTCATTTAGGTCAAAATTTTCTAGAAATAAAGTTATTCGCGATGGAATTCAAGCGTGATAGTGTGATTTATTTATTTTGGAAAACTACAAGTCGCTATCGTTAGAGCACTCCAGCATTTAAATGTGAATAAATTTTTTGTGTCTCGTGCCATCGCTCGTTACCGTGATACTGGTAGCGTAGCCCGAAGTCAAGGAAGTGGACGGAAAAAACACCAACATCAGCAGAAATGGTTCGAAAAGTAAAGAAGCGACTTGATCGAAACCCGCACCGCAGTGGCCGAAAAATGGCTCGTGAGCTGAGCAAACATTAAAAAATGAGTTCGGGGTAAAACCATTGAATTTCAAAAAAGTGCAAGAACTTATACCTCAACAGGAAGAAAATGGACTCAAAAGAGCTAAAGAGTTGCTGCGCTTGGCCGGAAGTGGTGAACTGCCGAATTTGGTTTTCTCCGATGCGAAAACATTCGTTGACCAGTAGTTTTTAAACAAACAAAATTATCGTGTTTACTTGCCAAAGAGGTCAGCTGAAAATGTACACCTTCGGTTGGCCACCAGAACTCAAGCGCCGGCCATGGTGATGGTGTGGTCCGGCATAACAGCCGATAGTCGCTCTTCCTCGTATTAATCGACCGTGGCATCAGAATAAATGCCGAATATTATCCCGAAAATATTTTGGAGGGTGTATTAAAGCCTTGGGCACGCAAACATTTTGGCCGCAGACCTTGGACATTCCGAGAGGACTCAGCACCATCGCACTCAAAATTAGGTTCTTCGCTTAATTTCCAGCGCACAATGGCCATTTAAATCTCTGGACACAATCCCTTGGACTATTGTGTCTGGAGTTTTTTGGAAAGCAAGGTTGGCACTAAAAAAATACCAAAATGTTGATCACCTCAAGCAAGCGCATCGGCGGGAATGGGCAAAATACAGCAGAGCGACCTTCGGGCGTGTGACGGTTTCATTGGTCGTTTGAAGGCCATTATTCGTGCCAACGGTGATCCATTTGATGCTATTTCCGATATTTTTTGCTTTCATTCAATAGAATTAAAAAAATGAAAAATTAGGGCGATTGACTTTATTGCAGTTTTTTTTATCTCACCCTGTATATATGTTCGTAGTTCGTAGTAGTTTTGCAAATGCGTACATTTTGGTACTGGGGGAAGGGATAGAGATAAAATTCTAAAATATGATATAAAGATTGCTGATGGTATCTGTATTTGAGCTTTGGCGGTGGTTTGGAAGTACGTCCAATATTTGTAAGAAAAATACAAAATATTACTAAATTTGGTATTGAATGAACGGATAGAGCTGAAATCGTGAAATGTTATATTGCAAGAACTGTTAGTGTCTAGGATTGAGACATGGAACGGTTTGACAAATGAGTACTAAAATCACACGAGAAGTACTAAATGGTACTAAATTTGGTTTTGAGTGAATGTATGGAGCTAGAATCCCGAAATTTGATATTGAAGTCACTGTTAGTTTTGTGGACTTTTTGGTGTAAAAGGTAAACTTATTCCTATTATTCTTTCCGAAAAAGGAAATATTAAACTAGTAAGCAAAGGCTATAGCCGTGCGGGCCCGACCATGTGATACCCTACAACACTACAGTATGTACTAGGCCCCCTTATGTCCAAATCCATTTTGGAAGATTTCGCTTATGAAATTATGTCATAGAGCACTGGCCAGATATTACCCTTAGCTTTTGATCAGGGACATTTTCCCAATATTTAGGCACTCCATCGTGCTCTTAGTTATTGTGGTCCATTTTACAGCTTAATATAATCCAATGGTCATCCAAAATGCTAGACTTCTTCCCTGTCCTTGACTCTCTTCTGACGCAAAATTCCGTGTTGATTGGTTTCAGTTGTGTGATCAGGAAGAATTTTCTGTTGTTGGTTAATTTGAACCCCTAAATATTTTGCGATTATCTTCAAAAGCAATAGGCCCCTCTGTATCTTCAAATTTAGACTCATTTATATGATTTGCTGGTTGGTTATATTCGTCAACGAAATCAGTAACAAAAAAGACAAAAGTTCGCCTTTTGTGTATTTTGGATTTCGCCTGTAAGTTGTTTTCAGCGTTTCGGTAGAAATATTGGTATTTTTTAACACAAAAGTAGTGATCTATTCTACCCATTCCATATTGTTCTAAACTCTAAGTTCATACGAGATTTCGTGTCCTTTGCTTTCTATTTGTGACGTTTCAAACGGCTGCAAAATTAGGAACATTTTTAGTCGTTCCTTTTGTACCCCTAAATATATTGCGGAAATCTTTATAAACAATAGACATAGCCCTTCTGAGCCTAATCCCACCCGTACGAAAATTTTCGTGAGGATCGGACGATAATTGCAATCCGTGTATATACAATCTGTGTTGTAAGGTGAAAAAATCAAAAATTAATATTATAAGTCGAATTGAAAAAAAATCGCATGCGAAAAAAATAAAAAAAATATCACAAAATACAAAAAAAATCTATATTTACATCATTATTGACATATTTTTATGCGATTTTTTTAGATTTTATTCTTTTATATTAATGGGGTATTCTGAGTCGATCTAGCAAGATGTGTCCGTTCTTTTGTCCATGTTCTATTATAGTCCGATTATTACGAAACTAAATGATTCCAGGTTACAATAGAAGACTATAATTTGTGAGGTTGATTGTATTTTAGTTGTCATTACCGGACTCGTCTTTTCGGGGTATATAGCATAGTTCAATACATTCCAACTACCCTGAATGGTATTTAATAAGTCGTACTTTTAAACATATTATACAAAAAATATACCCTCTTTAACCTAAGTGTGTGAACACGTGATAAATGATTTCCTATATGGAATAGAGAAAACGTAAATTTAATTTCAATTTTTTAAGTTGAACGGTCTTGAAGTTTTTAGTTATGTTAAGATACGAAATGACTGTCGAATTTCCCTTACTTTTATTCCCTAAGATTTTGAATTTTTTTTTTATACCACCTACGCGGAAGTTCCTCAACTCTGTACTTTTAATAATTTCTAAAAATTGTATTTGTTCAGCACAGCATGCTTAATTTAATTTTACATTTTTTTTAAATTGAAAAAAGTTATGAAAGTAAAATTGAAATGTAAATTAATATTACATAAGATTGTTGGCGGAATTATAACATCTTTCATGGGCAGAGAACCACCTCTGTTTTAATTGTATTGAAAGAAATTGGGTTTTTGAAATATTTGGGTGGGGAACGTGATTTGCAAATTTTCTGGTTTGTGCGACGATCGGCTGGGTCACAGTGAAAAAATGAAAAATGAATTGGTTTGTTTGTATACCCTCCACCAAAGTATGGAGTGTATATTAAGTTTGTCATTCCGTTTCTAACACCTCGAAGTATACATTTAAGACCCCACAAAGTATATATTCCTGATCAGCATAAAATTCAATGTCGATTTAATCTGTGGAAATCACTCTAGCTTCCGAACGAATTGAGGTAGATTGATAAAATTTTACTCGAATGTATATTATGTCTGGAGGACTTTTGATATTGAAAATGAGCCATGTAGGTCCCCGTTTTGGTATAGCCCCAATATAATGGTACCATCCGATATTCGGTATTTTGATGATTTTAGCGACATTGTTCACCGGAATTGTTTCAAATTTGGTATTTGAAGTTTGAAATGGATAGTACAGCCTTAAACAGAAAATTGTCTGTGAAGGTCTTCGTTTTCGTATAGCCCCTATCTAACGGTACCTCCCGATATTCGATATTTTGATGATTTTTGAGACATTATTCACCAGAACTGTTTCAATTTTGGTATTTGATGTTTGTAATGGATGCTACAGCATATGACAGGAGATTGTCTGTGCAGGTCCACGTCTTCGTGTAGCTCCATATAACGGTACCTCCCAAATTTGGGTATTTTGATGATTTTTCACCGGAATTGTTTCAACTGTGGTATTTGAAGTTCGTAATGGATACGAAGACAGAAAATTGTCTGTGCAGGTCCCCGTCTTCGTATAGCCCCCATATAACGGTACCACCCGATATTCGGTATTTTGATGATTTTAGCTACATTATTTACCGATTTTTTATAAGTTTCGCATTTGAATATTCTAATGGCTTATGACAAAAGTTACCTATGCAGGTCAATGTCGTCGTATAGACCGTAATATAACAGCTACATTCGGTGTTTTTTAAGATTTTAACAGAATTCTTAACGGATTTTATTGTTTTTGAGAATTGTCAAATTCGTTCCAAATGGTGGAGGGTTTTAAAAGTTCGCCCCGACCAAACTTACAGCTTTCTTAATTGTTTTGTCTTTAAACTCATTGGTGGTTGAATATAATCACAATTTTTTAAAGAATATCATTATATTTTTCTCTGAACATACATTTCTCATATTTATAAGAGAAAAAGACAATTTCAAGTAACATTTTTCTGTTTTTATTTCTTGTCTCCCTTATCTTATACAACAGTTATCTCCCTTAGTGTGCCGGTAACCAGACAACCAGCAATTGTTATATACACCTCCAGCAGTAGCAGCAGCAACACCAACAGTAATCCCGAGACATCTTGGCCAAGTCAGCAACAAGATCGTTAAAAGCGATAATGAAAAATATTTGACAAAAGTCAAGAAAAGTAAACGAAATCAAAGAGTTTGTTATAACACCCTCACAACAATTTTTAAGGCGAGGGATAAATAACAAATATCAACGACAAATGTTGTATCAGACATACAACCACTTACATACATACAACTCAATACACTAATTAACATTGCCATATAATAATGCTTCAGCGAATTAAGCCAACCTGTACTGTGGTAGTGGTATCAACAGCAATCATACAAATATTATCGAACATCAATATTGTCAGCAGCAACAACATGTCAACAGCAGCAGCAGCAACAACACCAACATCATCATTATCAACGGTATTCGGAAAAGTGTCTTCTTCATCATCATCATCATCCACGGCTTTAGAATTTGTTAGATTGTGGCAATTATGATTCACCATCCTACTTTGAACAATCAAAAAAAGTCAATGATTTATAAACATTTCATTTGCATAAAATTCTGATAAAAATTCTTGAAATTTAAATTTAAAGTTTTATTCTAAACAAGAAGAAGAAGAAGGAAAAAAAAACTAGTATCGAAGTAAATCCCAAAAACAAGAATTTGTTTTAAATCCACTTCTATCATTGACGATATATTGTTGGAAATTAAAAAAAAAAACACAAGTCATAACTAACAAAACCCCAGACTGAGAGATCTTCATCGAGTGATAGTTTGAGCCATTATTTAGGCAATTGTTTAAAACCCAAAATACATCAACAACAACGAACATCAGCAGCTTCCAACGAACAGCTGATATTAATCATCACCAACAACACCAAATCCGACGTCAGACATCCGGCATGGCACACTTTTGCGGCTTTATCAAATTTATATTTTTACTTTTGGTAAGTGTTGGATATAAGAACAAAATCTTTAGAGCCTATAGTTTTGAAATTTAATATGTAAACTTTTTTGATTAGTCATAATTAAAACAATGCGGCACGACTCTGCAGCGTGATAGTAGACTAAAAGAAAGAAGACACGTGTGTGGTATTTTTCTCTATCATCCTCGCGGTTTTTAGCAACAAATCATTAGAGATGTTATTTTCAGGTTCATATCTTCCAAACCGATAAAGGTTTTGAACACTATCTTCAAAGTCGAAATCGTTAAGGTTTAAGGTTTGTATTTTTCTCTGAGGCATTAGCCTGCAGATATCAACCCGTTAGAAACTCGAGGAAACAAACATATATACAGGGGGAGCAAAAAAACTGCAACAAAGTCAAACGCCGTAATTTTTACATTTAAATTAATTTTAAATTTTATTGAATGAAAGCAAAACATGTCGGAAATAGCATCAAATTTTAGAATATGTGTAGATTTGTTTGAAATGGTCACCTTTGGGACGAATCCTAATTGGTCGGTGACCCTGGCACAACTTGAATTTCGCCGCAGTTTTCTTGGCCGTCCAGCCAGGCAGTCCCCGGAGTAAACGTTCTGCAAAGAATATTACTGCTGTACCCGAGGATGTCATGGAAGCGCCTTCGACCAGACAACGTTCCTCGCAAATGGGTATAGATCGAAGGTCTTTACAGTGAATTTTGTTACAAAACTTAAAGAAGTTTCCTTACAAAGTGCAGATAGTGTATCAGCTGTTAGCTGCCGACTGCCAATCGCATCTAACATACGCTCAAGCCATCCCATATCACCACCAAGAAGAAGATTATTTTTCATGAAAAATAATCATCACTGATGAGGCCCGTTTCCATCATAGCGGGTACGTAAATAAACAAAATTTACGCTTCTGGGGCACTGAAAACCCGAGTGTAATCCACAAAGAGCCGTTAAACCCGCTCAAAGTCACTGTATGGTCGGACCATCCGACCTTTTTTCTTCGAAGACGTCGCGGGACAAACGGTTACTGCAAATGGTAAGCGGCACAAAACAACCAGTAAAGAAAGGCTTAAAGTCGGGCGGGGCCGACTTTATGATACCCTACACCACTTTGCTAATTTAGTAGAGCTCCGCATAACAATTAAAAGTTTTTATGGGAAAATTCAATCATACACGGTATGATTATAATTATAATTTAAAGTTCAAAGAACTAAATACGCCGAAGCATTTGTATCTTTTAAATTCGATCTTGTATTGCCCATTTGGTGCACAATTAATTTTAAAACGGATAAAGATATATATGGGAGCTATATCCAAATCGGAACCGATCTCGATTAAATTTGGCAAAGATATTTCTAAACTGTATACATACTGTATGATATATTTCCCTGAATATCGTTGTTACGGAGTGCATATCACGTCTGTGGAGGACAAAAATAACAAATCGGATGAACAATATATATGGGAGCTATAGCTATATCTGAACCGATTTCGATCAAATTTGGCATACTAGCTTCTACACTCAATTCGGTCGTAAGTGCCAAATTCCATCCCATTTAGACAAATATTAGACGTTTGGTGCACAATAAAAGGTAAATCGGACGAAGTTATATATGGGAGCTATATCCAAATCTGATCCGATCTCGATAAAATTTGGCAAATGTATTTCTGAGCTGTATTTGATATATTTACCCAAATATTGTTGTTGCAGAGTGCTTATTACGGCCGCGGTGGACAAAAATAACAAATCGGATGAACAATATATATGGGAGCTATTGCTATATCTGAACCGATTTCGATCAAATTTTGCATACTTATTTTCAGGCCTAATTTGGGTGTATATGCAAAATTCCATACAATTCGGGCTGATATTACACGTTTGGTACACAATAAAAGGTAAATCGGATGAAGATATATATGGGAGCTATATCTAAATTTTGACCGATTATCTCCAATTTCAATAGGGTTCGTCCTTGGGCCAAAAAAATGATCTGTGCAAAATTTCATCTGGATCGGGCAATAAATGCGACCTGTACTTTGTTTACAAAAATACATGGACAGACGGACGGACGGACATGCATAAATCGACTCAGATGTGATTCTTTGCAGATTATCAAAAGGAACTATGGGTCTATCCCGTTTGCTTTTGCCTGTTACAAACAAATGCACGAAGACATAATACCCTGACCACCTTGTGGTGAAGGGTATAATGATCAACGACTTCTTTTTGCCGCAACTTGATGATTAGGGATTGGAGACACTGAACGTGCCACAATCGATATGCTGAAGGATGCATTTCCCTGGTGCCTAATCTCCTGGTTTGGCGATTTGCACTGGTCAGAAAAAATCGCCTGATTTGACCGCTCCAGATTTCTTTTTGTGGGACTTTTTGAAGTCGCGGGTTTTATCAACAAGTTTTTTAAAGACAATATCCGTCAAGAATGTGAGGATCTATCGCCGGAAGTTTTGACCAAAGTAATAGAAAATGCCGTACAAAGCGATCAAATGAAAATAAAGTGTGACGGTGGCCATTTACACGACATCATACGAGATTCCCGACTTGATTTAAAAAAAGACCACATAAAAATAATCAACAAGAAGTCCCCTATAAACCCCCTCCGCTATAAACCCCCCTATAATTGACTTAATATTCTAGCCCCACTTTCTAACAGAATACTTTAAAATTCGGTATTAATTATTTGAAATGGGATCAAATTTGTAATAGGCAGAACTTTGTCTGTATATATCGACTTCTAATGGTATAGCTTAAAATTCAGTATTTAGAGTTTGTAATATTGTCTAGATAGTTCCACGTTTTCCTATAGCATCATACAGAGGTACCTCCCGATATTAGATATTTTGGAAATTTTAGCGGAATAGTTTAATATTCGGTATTTAGAGTTCACAATGGATTCTATTACCTGTAGCTGAATATTGCTAGGCCCCATATATTTATATATATATATATATATTTATATTTTTTTATACATTTTTTTCTGTTGGAATATTTTTAAATCTGGTGTATTTATACCCTACAACACTATGTGTTGGGGGTATTATAAGTTTGATTGGGCCAAAAATTATGTAACACCACGAAATATTGATTTCCCACATAGGAAAGTATATATGGATCTTCCTATCTCGCAGAGCTGAGTCGATCTAGCTATGTATGTCCGTCCGTCCGTCTGTCCGTCTGTCCATGTTAATTTGTAATCACTCTACAGGTCGCAATTATGGCTCGATCTTCACGAAATTTAGAATGGAGGTGGGGCTAGGGTCAGAATAGAACCCTATTTCTTTTGGAGATGATCGCCAAATGTTTAGGGGTTGAAATGGACCAAATACTGAAAAAATTTCGGATTTTGCAGTAGCTATACAGGTCGCAATTATAGACCAATCGACGCGGAATTTCGCATGTTGCTAGAGTTTAGGGGAAGAAGCCTACCAATTTGGTGGTCATCGGATAATATTTAGCGGGTAAAATAGACCATATCCTTTTTGTTGAAAAAATTCAAAATTTTTCATTAAACCGCGAATATTTTAAATCTCAAAGCCATGACAAGGTTACTTCTGATCTTTACATTGATGTTAAGATCCAAAAAATCTAATATATAGCAAATATATGCGATATACATGTCTATCAAAGAAGATATGCTTGAAAGATCTCTTATATGTCGAGAACGGCTGAACTGATTTCGACAGTTCTCATTAATTCAGAATGGTCTCTTGGCAGGAAAGGAAAAACGTCTAAGAAACGCATACAAATATCTCTCTAAAGATGAAAATATTGATTTTGTAACATTTTCTCATATTTTTTCCATTTTGTCATATTTTTGGCATATTTTCATTTTGAATTAAACATTTGGTAATATTTCTACAGCTAACAAAACTAAGTAGTTAGGATATCAGGATATCATATACAGATCGCATTTATGGCCCGATCCTTACGAAATTTTGCATGGAGATAAGATGAGGGTCAGAATAAAAGCTTATTCTTTTTGGGGATGATCGCCATATATTTAGGGTTGAAATGGACCAAAAAACTGCAAAATTGTCAGCAGGTCGTAATTATCGCCCGACCCTCACGCACATTTGAATGGGGGTTACCGGACATTGCAAAAGCCAAGCAGTTTTGGATGGAGAGAATTCACAAACACAGGAATGACGCACTTCTGACTATTTCATTAACGCTGATTTCGTTGAAGAATATAGTCAAATGTCAGTATCTCATATAGATGCGTTTCAGTCAAAAACCAATAATAAATGTTAATCTTAGCCACTTCTGAGAGATTAAAGGTCTTTGGGAAATATTGGTTCCAAATCTAGGAAGACTTAAATGGTCTTCCAACATCTACCAATAAATTGGAAATGAGCAAATTAGTTTAAGTTGCTATTATTTGAACATTAGAGAACGAAACCTGATGGTTTTCTTTTATTATTTGTCACAATATCTTGTGGAATTCTTTCGAGTATCTCGCCTATATAAACTGCATCGATTATTATAGTGTTGTAGGGTATTCAACGGTCGGCCCCGCTCGACAGTAGCCTTTGCTTACTTGTTTTTTTTTTTTTAATTTGGATTGGATGTTTTTAATAACGGAAGTGACTCATACCCGTGGAATACTGGAATTTCAGCTTTACAGACCCCTCTCAAGTTTCATGGCATTGTATCTACATTCAGTGGACTTCTAATAGGTATTCAAAACAAAATTTAAAAATTTAAATTCCGCTATCTCCGATACTAAATATGCATGTCAAGGAAGTCAGCACAGTACCCTTTGTAGTATTTGAGTTTCGCCAGTAAGTGACTAGCAGCACAAAAATATTCGCGGCTTAACGGAAATGTTCACACAATATTTATGGTTCATTTGAAGTTCTATCCAAGAAGCATGACTATCCAAAATGTCAGGCTTCTGGGCTGTCCTAAACTCTAACCGCATAAAAAAATTCCATGTCTATTGGTCCTTTCTTGAGAATTGTAGGACGACTAATTATGAATGGTTTTCATACTTT